TGGGCCTGGGCTGGGTTTGACCACGCCACCTCCGGCATACAGGCCGGCGCCCTACTCCTTTGAGCCACAGGTGCCACCCAATAGCACTTTTAAAGCAAGGTCATAACACTGTCTTTATCACCTTTTAAAATGTTTTTTTCTTCTTTGGAGACAGGTTCTCTTTCAGTCACCCCTGCTACAGTGCAGTGGCATCACCACAGCTGACTGCCTCCTCAAACTCCTATGCTTAAGTGATCCCACTGTCTCAAGTTTCCCAAGTAGCCGGGACTACTGGTGTATGCCACCATGCCCAGTTCATTTTTCTACTGTTTGTAGAGACAAGGGTCTCACTTTTGTTCAAGTTGTTCTTGAACTCCTAGTCTCAAGCAATCCTCCCACCTCAGCCTCCCTAAGTGCTAGGATTACAGGTGTGAGCCACCTTGATTCTTGATTCAAGATAATAATTCCAGATAATTAATTTTTACCCAAGAAATCAAGTGTTTTAAGTTTTGGAGAACTGAAAGTGTTCATTATCTGTCCCAGTGACAGATTGTTCCCTGACTTCACATTCATCGTTTTACCAAGCTAACTACATCTATCTACATTTTAGAATTTGACTCAAGTGGCTGGGCACGGTGGCTTGTGCCTATAATCCTCGCACTCTGGCAGGCCAAGGTGGGACTGCCCTGAGCTCACAGGTTCCAGAACAGTGTGAGCCAGAGCAAGACCTTTAAAAATAGCTGAGTCCCAGCTACTTGGGAGGCTCAGGCAAGAGAATTGCTTGAACCCAAGAGTTTAAGGCTGCTGTGAGCTATGATGCCACAGCACTTTGCCAAGGGCAAAAAAGTGAGACTGTCTCGAAAAAAAAAATCTGACTCAAGCCCTTTGTTCTACATGGGTGTTACCTGACTATATCATAAACACTAAGTTCCTATAGTTTAGTCTTGCAAAGGAGGTTCAATTCAGGAACCTCTGCAATAGAAAATATTTCCTGAAAAATTACCATATTCTTACTGTTCCTATTTATGACTGCAGTATCTAACATCCTAGAAATATTCAAATCACTCAGCTAGAAAAGCAGTGCATTCATTTAGGAAACTAAACCCTTTGGAAACTAATAAAACATTACTTTACCAACTGTCCTGCCTTGACAGTCAACAAAACACAGCATTTTCTCCAAGCAGTGTGATAGCCATTCTCTTAGAAGGCACAACAATCCCCACTTCCCAGTATTCATATCCTTGTGTAGTCCTGTCCCACATTGTATTTTGATGGTGCAATGGCTACTCTGGGTGACCAACAGAATATCACAGAATTAATGTCATCTGAGGCTAAGTCATAAAAACAAAATAGGATGGCTTCTGCTCATGCTTGTGGATCACTTGGGGGGGGGGGGCTAGGTGTCAGATGTCAGTCAGGCAGCCCTATGGAAAATACCCATACAGTGAGGAACTGAGGTCCAAAACCCACATGAGCATTTAAGTGCTCATCTAGCCCTTGTCAAACCTTCAAGATGACGCAGCCCCAGCTGACAGCTTAACTGAAACCATAAGATCTCAAGGCAGAACCACTCAGTTAGTAAGCAGCTGCTAGATTCCTTATTTGGAAACTGTGGGAGCGCGTACATATTTGTTTGAAACTATAGCAATAACTAAGATACAGTGGGCAAGGGTCACCCACTGTTTCTTGAATGGGAAAAGCAAAATTCTAATTACAATAGTTTTGAATAGAGATGTATTAATTTTGTTAAAGACAAAATTTTTAATTTATGTTTGTCTAATAGTCAACAAAAAACTTAAAAACCAATTCCCAACTCAACTACTCAACTCCTTCACCACAAAAAAAGAAAAATATTAAATATATGTTATCTGGAGCTAATACACATCACTCATCAGATCACAACCTAAAGTGTCAGGCATTTTCAACAATTAACGTTCAAAATACAGCAGCAGGACAATTCCTTTGATCCTATTTTTTCTCTCTCATTACAGATGTCAAGCATTGTATTTAGCAAGTTCCAAAAGGTCTGAATTAGGATGCCTTGATTACACCTGGACTGTTTTAATGAGTTTTAAATTAGATCTTAAAGAAATATGAAATAAAAGCAGTATAAGCAACAGTACACGATGACTATGTACAGCCTCCAACTACAGAATTCAACACAACGCAGAGTTTTCTTCAACAGTTATAGACATCACGGATCACTACCAGAACATCACATAAGTTTATTTCAGATGTAACAGCAATGTTAAAATTGACAAGTTTAATTCTTAACTGCACCAAGTAAACTCAGCCATATAATTATTTTTAAAGTTATTCCCTCCAAAAAACTGAGGGAGCTTTTCTTTTCCACCACCACACACCATT